ACAAGAAACACCGTGAAGCTACACTAATCCGGTTTGGGCAGGTGAGTTACACAGTCGGGAGGACGTAAAATAAGAAGATAATCGTCGCGATAGATCGGCTAATTAACTAAAATATGTTAATTAACTCCTTAATTTGTGAAGATACACATATGGCTTCAATTAGAAACCTGCTGAGCGTCATCGATACCCACAAATAAGTAAAATTTAGAAATGTTTGGGGTGCCCCAATCTCCCGAACACTTCAGGCGCCCGTGGGTTTCCGTCTGTGTTTTATTAAAATGTAATCGCCAGCCGTCGTCTGCTCTTAAGAGGAATCGTTCGTGTTCACCGTTGTGTACCGACTGCAAGCCCCACAACGTCGTCTTTTTTTTTTTTTTTTTTAGGCATGGTACATTTCCACACGGACACAAACAAAGGTTTTGGGCGTCGTAGGAAAGCGACGGTTGTTGAGGCTCCTGACACCCTTGTTGACGCAGAGCACACTACGGCGCACGTGCGTCTGCCATTCTCTCGGCTTACTCCAACGGAAAACCTCGCGGCGGGGAGCAAGTCGGCCGCTAGCTTCATCATCCGTCTAACTAGATGCAGGATCACGTCTGCTTCGGAGTGTGCGACGTAGCGTTGCTCTCAATTTGGGCTCTCCGGGTTTGGTTCTGGAGCCTGGTACGTGTTAGTTAGAACACGCGCTGTGTCTTTTTGGACTGGTTGGCCTTGTAGTCCCTTCGGGTTTGTTCGGTTCTTTCTCGGTCCAGCAGGCTCTGATTGATTGAGTTGTGGGCGTGAGTTATTTTGACTAATACCTCTAGAGAAACGGGCTTCAATGCTGTTAAAGAGAAGCAGGCGATGGGACCCGTTAGAATAGGACATGTGTAACTTCATGGCTTTAGTTGGGCTATAGTTGGTTCATTTTTTTTTTTTGGGGGGGGGGGGGGGGGGGGTTAATGCAGACAGCTTGAACAATTTAGGCGGATACACGAAGGTAAGAAGGCCGGTGTCTTCGTCCATTTCCTACCGTTCTGTATTCATCTAAATTGTTCAAGCTGCCCAGCTTAACAAAGGGACAGGGCAGTTTATAAACGGGCAAAATCCGTTCTTCAAGTCGTTTTTTTTTTTGTTGTTTACTTTCATATTCCAACTTGTTTTTATCGAGTACTTTTCATAACCAATCTTAATTGTTACTCGTGCATTTTTTTTTATTTCATAGATTTGCCTTTTCAAATTATTAAAGAATGTCTGAACTTTAATTTTCAAAATAAATCTACTCACATTAAAAAAAAAGAAAACAGAAAAAAACGCCAAGGCATGTGATGTTTAAACAAAAATTTTATTGAAAACTCATGCAATATTAGACCATTCCCATAATCGCCGTCTGCGCGCTGCTATTTATTTTTTGTGAGCTGTGGAGTGCCTTCTATGCACGCGCAGTAAGCTTCTACAACAAAGTGGAAACCGCAAAGGCGTTGACTGCACAGTTACTGGGCATTTTTGGCCTGGCTGTTGAGAGCTGGAAAAGCGTGTAGAAAGAAGCTCTTTGATTGGGGGGGAGGGGGGGGGGGGGGAATCTGAGCTCAGGGAATTTCCAGTCCTTACACTTATTAAAGAGTTTTAGAATAACGTACGCAATTTTAGCGCACGCTAGCGCTAAATTTAGCGCCTGCGTTAGCGCACACTACGCAAGAGAGTTTTAGAATAGCGTTTCTCCGCTGCGACGCAAAAACCCAGGCATCTCGCGCTTACGACGCCACCAAGATAGAGTCACAGTTTTTGTTTCACACACAAAATGCTGTAACTTGAGAAAAAAAAAATTTTTTTTGGTCCAGAGTAACATTTTAGGCTTGTTTAAACATGAGAATGCGACGCGAGCAGTCGACCGGTCGTGTCCGAAGAGAAGTCTCGTGTACTGACTTTCGCACACCGTACCTTCGCCGAGAAATGTTCGCGCATCGCAAGCATCAAGTTGCCGGGGATCTTTGCCACACCGAGTGCAATGTCGTCCCGTATTGAAAATCGCACTCGTGAGGAGCGCTCACCACGCCACCAAAGAGGCCGCAGACATGGTCCTGGGAACCGCCATTTTTTAAGTGTGCTCGTCTTGGCTTTAGCCAACTTCTCATCACGAACCCTCCTTGGAGGACCTCGAAGACCACGGTGGCAAAAACTCTGCGTACGCACGCAATTTCTGAAATATAGCGTACGCTAAAATAGCGCACGCAAAGCGCAAAACGTGGTTAGCGTTCGGCGCATGCGCAGTGGCGACGACGCTATTCTTTGCGTACGCAAAGCTTTAGCGTGCGCTATTCTAAAACTTTCTATTAATAATGTTCAATATCCTTTGTCCAAGCAAGCGGGTGTTCAGATTTCGATGATCAAAAGTAAAGCCGAGAACAAGGTGAAGCCGCGAAGCTCGATGCTGATTGGCTGATGGGGCAGGTCAGCTGACCAAAAAAATAAACCAAAAGGATTGAGAAAAAAAAAAAACGAATAGTGCCAGTATCTTTATTCTAGGAACTACTATCAAGTTTATATGGCAAATTGATAACATGAAAACTTGGGCGAGTTGGCGATTCATATTTTAAGGTAACAGAGTAAGATCAATCACACAACACGACACGCCGAAGGACAAACACACACGCTGACCTACAACTCTTTGTATTATGCTACTTCTTTGTTCACTTCATCCGGTTGACTCTCGAAATCTCCATGACCAGCAACAATAGCACGAATACAGGAAACACTTCTAAATATGTTTCTCACTCCTCACCGCAATTATCAGAATAAAAATTCGAGCTCTTTTTGAGACAGTGTTTACTATAGGGATTGTGGATGCGTTTCGAATTTTGAAAGTTGTTTTGTTATAGGATGGAGTCGGGACCAGCTCACCAGAGAGATAATGGAAGCTTAAAAAATAACGCTTCTCGATGACAAGTGCCCATCCTTCACACTGTCTCAAAAAGAGCTCGGATTTTTATCCTGATAATTGCGGTGAGGAGTGAGAAGCATATTTAGTAGTGTTTCCTGAATTCGTGCTATTGTTGCTGGTCATGAAGATTTCGAGAGTCAACCCAATGAAGAGAACAAAGAAGTAGCAGAGCACAAAGAGTTGTAATTCGGCGCGTGTGTTTGCCCTTCTGTGTGTCGTGTTGTGTGATTAATCTTGTGCTGCTTCTATGCCACGTGTTAAGTTATCTGACGAGTGTCCGTAGGTGCCGTGCTCGGCAACGTTCCGGAGCGATACCGGAATGTTTCACGTGCCCAGCAATTTTCTACAAAATGTTTATGGTTTCTTTTTTATTTACACGTCACAACGACAACAATGGTGGACCACTGTCTACGATAGTTTTAGATCTGTTTCATTCCAGAAGTCACGACATTTTGGTAAAACATTTTCAGTGAAAACTAGAAATTAGCCAGGGGACATAGACGCTTTACACACGCGCCAAATTGCAGCCGCCATTGCCGACCTTATCTCGTCTTACCAAGATGTCGAGCCACTGAAGCGGGCATCGACGAACCTCCAGAAAGGCCTATGATGGGGAGAAGGACACGATAGGCTTGAAAATGGCAATTTAGCCTGTCCTGTTGTGGTAATGATGAAGTGATGTGAACCCAATAATATGAAACCAAAACTGAAGGTCGGTTATGGCGGCGCCCCTGCACAGCTGCCTGGTTCTGACGTCACACTGCTGTGGTGGCGCTGATGTCGGCATGGCGCATGCGCAAATGCTTCACCTCGTAATCTTGTTTTCGCGTACGCGCTGTGCCAACACCTGGGCCCGTTTTCTCGAACGCGAACCGTGGTTTAAAGTTAACTATTGTCCCTAGAATGGGGAATTCCAGGTCACGTGACTGGGAGAGCAGGGGCGCCGAGGGAGGAGCAGTACCTAGAAGCAAAATGGCCGCGGCGTCGCTTAATGAGGGCTAATAGTTCTGCTTGGTTCTGCTGAACATTCATTTCGATCTGGCTATTATATTAATGACTCACCATCAACCTATTAGCACGTCAAGCAAAGCGATAGTTCAGAGGGACTACTAAACTAACCGACGGCAGCATTCCGCGAACGCATCACTCTTCAGCAGTCCGGGATCCAAGACATATGACGGTATATAAGCCTTGCAAGTGTTTTTATGGTGAGTAAAAAAAAGGTTTTGCGAACGAGTGTTGGTACATATTTATACTAAGACGTTTAATTTGTTACACTATGCACGCCAACTCGTGAGCAGCGATTACTTTGCGGAGAAAGGGGGTTATCCTCAATAAAGTCTTCGTTCCGGGTGAACAGCTGAGACATTGTACTGTTTTTTTTGTTCACAGTGCGCCGACAGTATGCCGACAGCATTGAGGTTTCTACATATCCCCGGTGGCCAGAAATTCAACGGTGACGAGAAGCTTAGCTTCTCGTCACCGGTGAATCGGTTGGGCAAACGGAAGAGAGGGCAAACAGTTGAGATCAGCAGGAATCGCAGAAACGTGCGTCGCAAGGAACGAAAACGAGACTACAGCACCGGCGTTGCCAGACTGGAAGAAACACAGGAAAGTTATGCGTTGTTTATGGCGAAACATATTGAAGGAAATGTTTCTTACATTTTCGAATATTCGTCGACAAACTCTAGCATAGTAGCTAAAATTTCTTCGTACCATCGAAAGCAAATAAATTGGTCTTCAAGTACAACATTACTATATTTTGACTTAAAATACCATACTAGATCGATGACAACCAGCGGAAAAAGAGGATAAAAAAATGACTGACTTATTTCACCGATAGATGGCGCATCTTATTGCCCAATTAAAAATAATTATTGTTGTTCTATATCCAGTTGTTTATTACAGTACCTAGGTACTTTTCCCTTCCTAGGCACCGTGGTTTACCAAAATGGGTTTACCATCGCTTCGAGAAAACCGGCCCTGGTGGGGCACTTGGTGGGGCAAACAAGGGCCCCTTTTGAAACAGCGCGTTGCCGTACAGAAACCCAATTAAAATAAAGGCTCCGCCATTGCTGGCCTACTCACCGGTGACGTAGTGAGAGAGCGTCTCCTCATCGCGACCGTTGTCCTTCTCGTCCGAGTCTTCCTGCTCCTCTTCGCTCCTGGACGTGAACCCCGAAAGCCGGGGATTGTGGGACAGATCGAGGGTGAGCCTCGGCAGCGCCCCCCAGCGTTCCAGGAGGGCAACCGGCAGTATCTCCAGGAAGGGGCAGTTTGATATCCGAAACGTCATTGGCCCGTGCGGGTGGAGACCTTCGAAGGCGTCCGGCGTCACTTGACGGAGCTGTCGTCCGGTTATGCTCAGTTCGGATATCTGGAAATGACGGGAGAATGACTCTGAACGAACAGGAAAACTTCATGAGATATACCCGTTTTCACCTCAAGAACCGTAGTAAAAAAAGTCCGGCTCCTGGCGGAGCATTACAAATTTCCCTCTTTATGCTGAGAATTGAGATATATGTAGCTGTATTTTAGATTAGCAATCTGTTCTGTTATCAAGACGCACACGTTTCAAACGCCAAAAGCACCGCTCCTGCGTCCGACCACCAAATATTGTGAGAACTATTTCGCGCGGCGTAGGAACGTGGAGCAAAACTTCCTTTTTTTCTTGAGTTGAAAACGGGTATAGATAGTGTTCAGAAAAGAAGAAAGCAGGGTTGACAAAGCAATCACGGACTCCAGCAGTACTGCCTTAAAAACAAAGCCTGCCCCCCCCCCCTTACACACACACACACACACACACCAAACGTCATTTCTAGTGGATCCCAACGCAGTCCTTGTCTTCAAAGTGGTAGTGTTTAGCATTTTCGACAGATCCACTAAATCTTTATAATCTGTTCTTGGTGGTTCACGCGTTATCGTTACTTTGCTCGTCTTAAAGGTGAAAACACTCCCGCTGATATATGTACGCTAGTAAATGTTGAAACTAAATAATGAACCAGTCCAAAAAAAAAAAAAAAAAAACTTGATTGAAGCTGCCATTTATTCTACAGCCCTACTTGTTGATGCGCGATTCCTTTTCTTTTTTTTTATGCAAACATGGCTAGTTTCTTTTTTTTTTTTTACAAACACGGATAGTAGGACAGGACTGAAAATAAGTCGCAAATATCAGGCTAGCCGTAGCTTTTTTTCTTATAATAAACGCTAAAAAAATGTTTAGTTCATGTTGGAAAAAAACATCATCTATCAATAATAGGCCTAGTAAGTTCTTGTTTTTGGGTGAACCTGACTCGTCACTTACCTTGCCACCGAAAGCCCACTGAACTTGGTAGGATAATGTCACCTCATCCACGTGGATTGTTACGCTCTGGAGAGACTTGGAGCGCGACAGAAGCTCCTGGAGCCTGAAGGCTCGTACACTGGAGTAAGTACTGGTTTTCACGCTGCGCAGAGTTCTGCGAGAAACAAGTTTAGACGTGCGAGTGGTGAGTTGTAGATCAGTGTTCACTGCATATTATTGCACACCCTACTCGTAGCTCATGTGGCTCTTCACGAGTGCATCGCAATTTCATTTACGAGAACGGTACGAAACGTATTAAGTACATATTTCATAATTCAGATGGTCAATGAAAGGAAGAGACAGTAAGGAAGAAAAAAATGAAGACGTTTTACTCTTCTCTGTAATATTAAATTAGAGCGCAGCTTGAGTTATTTTCATTTTACGATATACCTTGGTAAAGAATTATATATATATATATTGCGGTTATTGGATATTTTGATTTTGTTTGAGGTTAATTCAGAGGACGAGGAGTGTATACCGTGGGGACCCCATAATGCAACGCGCGCAGTGTTGCATTATGGGACGCCACAGACGTATATACACCAATTCAGTTTCTCCGCTAAATTTAGCGAAGAAATTGAATTGGTATATTGGTTTGTGACGTCCCATAATGCAACGCGCACAGTGTTGCATTATGGGACTTTTAGGCGCCCGTTCCCGCAAATAGCGGTTACGTCGACGCCGCTGTATGCGGGAATGGGCGGCTAAGAGCTGCGCTCAAAAAACGCAAAGCTAGCAAGAACTTCCTATCTCGAGTGACTATTTCACATAACTGCAGAGAACGGGAAATACGACTTCTAAAACGACAGGGAGAACATTGACTCCTGGCACCATGGTCATATTGTTTGAACGTAACTTAGCCTCTAAAATTTAGGAACGTCTTTATAAAACCGGCCGTATCTTGACAGAAAAGGAATTTGCGATTATTAAAATGGTAACACGAATGTCGTTAAGTGATGTCCCATATACCTGGCACACTTATTTTGTTCCGTCCGTAACTTGCCTGATGGCATCTATGGTCCGAGCATCGAGGAACTGGAGCTTGAGGTCTCGGATGTCCAACTCGATCAGGGCTGCAAGTTCCTTGAAGCTGCGGCCACCAAGTTCCTTGATTGGGTTGGCAGACACGTCCAGTGTCCGCAGTTCGGACACTGGATTCCAGGTGCTAGAATGTATGTCCGTGATGGCGTTGCTGGACAAATCCAGTGATCTTAGGTTTCTGAGACCCGCGAAGACTTGCGCCGAGAGATTAGAAATGGCATTGGATTTGAGCGACAGGGTGGCCAAATTAGGTGCTGTCGTGGGAGGTATAGTCGTCAGGTTGCAGCCGTCAAGAATAAGTGTCTGAAGTTTGAGATCGAATGTACCATGATCGATTCTCAAGAGTGGATTACTCGAAAGATCCATGGTGAGGAGTCGCTCCAGGTTGGCAAAGACGTTTGCAGGAAGAATCAGTATCTGATTCGATGAGAGGTTCAGATACTCGAGATTGATGAGTTGGTCGAATTCCGATGTGGCGATGAGAGTGATCTTGTTAAATGAAAGGTCCAAGTGCGTCAAGGTCTCTCTAACGGGTATGAACGTCTTCGCGAACGGTCTCGTAAGCTCGTTGTGTGACAGGACGACTTGTATAAGGGACGTCTCTTCGAAGATGTCGTCTGGCAGAACTGGAATTCGGTTATGATCGAGGTGCAGTGTGGTTAGGTGAGTCATTCTTGTAAAGGCTTCTGCTGGGACGGCCGTGAGCTGATTATGGCTTAATGACAGGACGTGTATATGGGACGACGCCTGAAATGATCTCGGGAACAATTCTGTTATTAGGTTGTAGCTCAAGTCAAGTATTTGAACACGGGGCAGTTCGGAAGTGATTTCTACGTGTATGGTTTTTAGGTGATTGTGGGATAGATCGAGGAGATATAGTCTGTGGCGCATGGTCCAAAAGAAGTGACGTGGAATGGAGGCAATGCTATTCCAACTTAGATCCACGCGGGTGACGTTTAGGGTGTGATAGTCACCGATGTTGGAGCTTAGGTGGCTGATGCTGTTATGAGAAAGGCATAGCTGCAATACCGGGAATGTAGATCGAGTGCTAACTAGGCTGACGTCAAGACTGATGAGTCGATTGAAGTCCACGGAAAGACTTCGTAGTTTGGGAAGGTCTTGGAAACAATCGGGCTCTATGGATGAAATCAGGTTGTGACTGAGGTTGAGTACAGTCAAATTCGGTAGATTCCGGAATACCTTACTCGCCAAGCTGTCGAGCTGATTAAAAGAGAGGTCAATTGTCTCAAGGCTCGTTAAGTTACTGAATGCCAAACTGTCTATTACGTTCACGCGGTTATGAGCTAAAACCAAGGTCTTAAGTTTACCTTGAGCAGATCTCTTGAAGCACTGTCTTGGCACGATTTGTAAATTGTTATGACTTAAGTTTAAAACTTGCAGATTTTTCGAACGGCACAGAACTGAAGTATCGAGGCTTGTTATTTTGCTGTGAAGGGCGTAAATTCTACTGATGTTGTAACAGCTATGCAACTGTCCTTTGGCTTTGTACAAATCGACGGCTGTATGGGAAAGACGCAATATATTGAGCTTGGGGCACGGCTTTGGAAAAATGTCGTTCCCCAGCTTTTTAATGGGATTAAATGCAAGACGCAGTTCCGCTAGGTTCTTGAGCATGAAAAAAGCCTCATCTTCAATAGATACGATTTGATTTCCCGTCAAATCGAGCAGCAGAAGCTCTTCGAGACCGTGTTTAAAATCGTCGCCCGTTATGGTCTGAATGACGTTGTCTGCTAGTCTTAATGTCTGTAGTTTAGACAGAAACTTGATGGCTGCCTTGGGAACCGTTTTGAGACGATTGGCTGACAAGTCCAGATACTGCAAATGCTGCCTGCTGGCGAAGAAATCGTATTCGTCGAAATGAGAAAGGAGATTGTCTCCGAGGTTAAGTAACTGAAGACGCCTGAGAAGTCTTATGGCCTTTGGAAACTCGTTAATAAAGTTATGGCTTATATCGAGATGAGCTAGGAGGCCATCCAAGCCGTCAAACAATGTAGCCGGCAACGTTTTGAGGTGATTAACAGAAAGCGACAGATGTTTTATGGTCACTAGCTTGAAGACGCTTGAGGGCACATGGCGAATGTAGTTGTCCGCTAGCAGCAGCAGGTGAACTGTAACCCTGTTATCTAGAAATAGCTTACTCGAAAGCGTAGAAAGCAGGTTGCGATTTAAGGCCAGGGTATCTAGGTGTTGTGTTGGAAGATGCCATTGAGCTGGGAGCTGTTTAATCTGGTTGTCATTAAGAAGAAGGTAGGTAAGAGTCTTGAGGTTTGAGAAGCATTCAGACGGAAGTTCATCGAGAAGGTTTCCACTGAGATCGAGTTTGATGATAGATTCTGGAAAGGGTAGCCCACCTATTGTGTGGATGTGGTTTGAACTCAGATCGAGTATTGTCAGGTCAGTTAGTGACGAAAAAGTGGAGTTACGAATGGTGGTCAGAAGGTTCCGAGAAAGTTGAATGCTCTTGAGCCTCACGCTGTACGTCGACAGGAGAGACAGGTCATTGGGTTCGAGGTCACCGATATGGTTTGAGCTTAGACCCAATTGCTGAAGATGGCTCAGAGTGAGAAGTGAAAGCGTAGGGAATTTTCTGATGCTGTTGTGACCAATGTCAAGGATGGTTAAGTTCGGTGTGCTCGAAAAGGCGCCCGGTTCGACTAGGCCTAGTGGATTGCTGTTGATTTTTAGCGACGTCACGGGACTAGAGTGGGTTGTTGCCTTGGAGGTGTTCCGTAACACTTGAAGCGTCGGGGAGTCTCGGATGATCACGCGTTGCAGTTTATCCAAACTTGGTAATGTAGTGAAGGGAACGCCTTGGCACAAGGCCACCGTCTGGTTCACATCGCAACGACAGAGGGCGTTGAAGTCACAAGGCATGACGGCGACGTCAGAGCTGGAACTTGCTCGGGTCTGGACCATGATGAGGGAGAGCAGCATCAGCGGGATAATCATTCTGCAACAGAATTCAGAATGGAGAGTTACTTTTTACTTATGTTTCTTTTTTGTTCGATTAACAGTAAGAACAAATGTAAATATATTCCCATATAATCTAAAAGAAACTTGAGTCTATAGGACACATAAGTGATATTGCAACACACTCTGTTGTGCTCATGCGCCAGGTCAAAACAGGTGTCCCAATTTGTGTATACCATGTCTCGAATTCGCTTTATAGATAAAGTTAGTCGCGCTCTTGTTTCTGGCTATCATTTCAGTTACCTTCGCGTTTCTGGTTTTAAATCAGAAAATCAGGATTATAGCAGAATGAATATAGAGTCTTATATAATTTTAAGGTTGTATTTATTCAGTGTTTATAATTTTTGACCCACTCAAGATTTGATTGACGTGTTTAATTTTATATACTCACACTCGCATATTTTATTGAGGAGTAATTCAGTGCTCTATAAATGTGACAATGTTTATTTTCTGCTGGTACTAGGCGATTGGTGTACTTCTAATTCAACAAACCGTTGTCAAAAGAGAATAGAAATACTTCTGTTATTTCCCATTTTCCGTTTGTATGAAGGATCCTGGTTTCACCTTCAAACATCACTAAATATTTTCATCTGTACACAGTTTTTTTTTTACATTTTGGATTTATATTACATGTTTTGCTGCTTGTGTTTATCTAATTGTCACGTCATTTTTCGGCTTCGCAGGAATGATTGGTCGAGAACGGGAAGTCACACACACACACACACACACACACGCACACGCACACGCACACGCACACGCACACGCGCACGCACGCACGCACGCACGCAAGCACGCACGCACGCACGCGCGCGCGCGCGCACACACACACACATACACATACACACACACACACACACACACACTGTACGTAATCCGTTACAAGTAACGAAATTACTTGTAATCCCTTACATTTAGCAGTAATTTAGTAACGGAATAATTACATATTTACTAGAGTAATTTTAAAGTAATTCCCTTACATTTTTCACGTAACGAATTCCTTGTAATCCGTTACTTTGTTTTAGGACCAACCCCCCCCCCCCCCCCCCCCCCCCTCTTCTTTCTAAAGGAACGGTTGTTTTTATTTTGGTAAAGTAGAGCGCAGTGACACTCACGCGCAAAGGGAGGCTTGGCACCCTTCAGTTCCGCAAAGCCTTTTTTGTTTGCAACACCAAGCCCCTAAATCTATTCTTTTTAGGCCCTAACAACAATGTAAAAAAACAAAAAAACAATAATCATTTCTACAAAAAAAAAAAAGGGGGGGGGGTTGTGGCAAGTTATATCCGCTTTTTTTAGTCCTTTTTGTGATCGAAAATGAGGAGAGGAGGACGCGAGGTGATTGTGTAAATCTTCGAGAAGCTCCAGACGGTAAGTGCACAGAGAAGAATTAACAATGTCCTTCTCGTTTATAATGACTGCGACCATTTTTATAATGTCACAACACCAGACAACGTTCCCCATACCCTAAAATCCACTAAAATAGATGTGATAATATGTGAAGGTGCTATTGCTACAAACATCCTCGTTCGTTGCTGCACACTTATCATCTTCTCGAAAACAGGATGTATTTTTTTTTTTTGTTTCTTTCACCTTATTTTACCCTGTTTTAAAAGCTACTTACTTTTTTGTAGTCCAACTTCTAGAGTTGGCCCAATTTATTTGTGAATTCCAGCCAGGTTATCTGGATATCAGTCACCCTTTCTGTCAGTCAGTTTTTTGCGAGCACTTTGAAAATGGTAATAGTCTTCCTTTCTTCTTCTTCCTGTTTTTTCCCCAGTAGGACGCATCTTATCTGAAGCAGATATTTTTACAAATAAACATAATAGTGGCTGAAGTAGACTTGATATTCTGGGCTTGAGGAGAGGGTGAAACTGGAGAGTGGAGCCATCGCGCGGCTTACTTAATACTCTGCCCTTCGCTGCCTGTGGCATCAGCATACGTCTGGAGAACACCGGATTCGTGCTCCGTGCGTTTTTGAGCGGCAGCAAGAAAGGTACACGCAACAAACGTGCGTTTGCCTTTTTTTTTTTAACCGACGTTCCAATTAATTGTTGTTATGAGTGTCCTTTTTTCGATTACTTATATTTATTTACTGGAAACTTTTTCATATTCACCAACGTCTCAACCGAGGCTCGACCTGTTCAGAACCAAAGGAAGAAGAATATCGAGCCAGACCTTATTTATTATTTAATGATCACCCTACTGTTACAACTATGTTTTGCTATTGTCTGGCAATATATGCCGGTATAGTAAGATGGACATATATCAATTCTTATTATAGTTTTCGCTAGATTTAAGATTATTTCTACAGCTTTGCGATTTCGAGAGTGGAAAATTTTAGTCGATCGGTCCGGTGACTCCCTTAACGATACCCGATACTCCGCCGCCGCCTGTGCGCAAATGGAACAGGTTGCAACAATAAGAACTTGAATAACCTTCTTCCCTTTGTCTCTTAATTAAAGACAATATTGTTGAAACTTGAAAGTAACGCCACGAAAGTAACGGATTACTTTTTGGGGTAACGGTCACTTACTTTTATGGGAGGGTAATTGTAATTGTAATAAATTACAATTTAGCCTTGAGTAATTGTAAATGTAATTCTTTACTATTTTTCAGTAACGTGTACAAGTCTGCACACACACACACACACACACACACACACACACACACACACACACACACACACACACACACACACGTTCATATTTTTACATCTTCCAAGTCAAATATCAATTCTATCTCCAAACGGCATTTAACCGAAGGTGTATTTCCGCACAACGAGTGACTCCCGCATTTTGAAAAGGAAACATTACGGTTGCTAGGAGAGTGCAACGGGAATACCCGAGAGATTTAGCGAATCCTTGAGTGGCAATCAAGATTTCGCTAAATCCCGTAGCTAAACGGAAGCTGACAGTCCCATGTTTGTGCGAGAGACTCTATAGACCCTTTCTAGGCTGCCTACATGTCTGTCTGTCTCAGGGTGAAGACATCCATTGTTGCCCTGAATGTGCCAGCGCGTGACGCTCTGGTGCACTTCGTGCATGACTTGGGTGGTAAAATGGCGTCTAGGCATTAGCCAAAGCTACGCGCTCGAGCTGAGTGACACCGGACTGCGCGCACTTCGAAATGCATAAACAAACGATTGGGTGGAAAAATGGCTGAGATGTCACCACTCAAGCAAAAGCGCGCGTGTGTATAAAGGCACTCTAACCCATTCAGAAATGCAGTACCATCTAGTGGCTGAAATATTAGTCCAAATGGTTATGTACTCATGGCGTGTAAAATCTGGTACCTATTCCTACGGTAGACGTGCGAAAGTTGTGGTGTTTTTTGATGAACAGTTGTTTCACTACTTGCTTCAGTACCGATGGTGTCAACAAACTACCACTCAGCACAAGGCGCTTATAGTTAGTTGCGTAAACCTCTTGATACAATTAACGTTTCATTGCCATGAGCTGTCTGGCACGTGCCAAAGCGAAGAAATCCAAGGACTTACATGACAGCTTCAAATGCGTAGCGCATATCAGTTTATAAGTCTCGTCACGGTGACATCGAACAATACAGCGAACTAATGTCTGGATGCACAGGCTCCGCATTGGTTTCTGTCTTCATATTTTTCCTTTCAAAAGCCGTCAAAAGACCGCCATTCGCATGTACAGATGATACCAACGTTACTAAAACACTCAGTTGAGAAGCTCACCGAAACCCAGACCGCTGGTGTCCCCCGAGACAGAGCTAAATACGATAACAGCGCCACCCTTTAGCGACGAGTTTAAGCATGAAAGTTGCTCTACATGGCCAATGCTAGAGCAGCGTTGGCTATTGGCGACGTGCACGATCGAAAGCGTCGCTGTGGTCGGCCTTCCACGATTGGCCGAATGCTGACTTTAATGTCAGCAAAGGATTCCTCATCGGCGGAAATAAAAGTAATGTAAGAACTTGAATTTTGACGGTGTTGGCACTATTGGTTTAAAAGCTAGCTCAATAATTTCCAGCTTCCACCATGCTAATTAGAAACAACATCGAACTCGTTGTTTACAGGGTAATGACGTCACGAGAGGTAACCATAGGAGGGCGCCACCCAAAAATCTCGCTGCTAATAGTCACTGAAGTTTCCCGAAGTACCGACACCACCAAACTCGAGGTTCCAAGATGGCGGCTCAATCTTTTTTCTTTACTGTGGTCACCGTGAGCTTTTAGAAAACATGTTTTTGCGTAAAAAACAAACGGAAAAAGTTCTCTTTGTAGGAAATTTAATTTATTGTAGATTAACACAAAATAACAGAAGCTTGATGTTTGCATAAAAGTTTAGTTTACTGGGTTTTGCAGCCCAATCAATATTGTTTTTATACAACCATGTGTTATGTATGACGCAACGGGCGCGGGGACTAAGCGCGCACGTTCACGTGTGCTCGAGCGTGTGTTCCTGACGCTATCGGACGAAAGACTTGTCGGGCAGAACACCGTTCCTCAGTATTAAATGATGTACACATCACCATGTCACCGGTGGCCTGCAGGTAGCGCGTCCCGATCTGGGTTCGTCCTAATTTGGCGATCAATTGCGGCACGTCGGTTTAGGAGGCTGGGCTTGGCAGCCTTGAAACCCTTTCGGCTGTATACGTGTCGGAGCCAAAGAGCCAAAATTGAAGAGTAGAAGCGGCCGCTATCCAATGTGATACTCAGACTACTGCGAGATAGCGCCACCGGCCCTTGCGCGACTCGATCTGAACGAATACGTAAAGCCGTGCAGTTCCATGAGTTGCCGCTGCGGGAAAAATGGCGGCGTTGCGATCGCCATTAGTTCGGTTCTCGAGTACGGATCGGTTTTTCAGAATAGGCTCTATAACGATTTCCCAACTGAGTTGTTCTAGTAACGTTGACTGATACCCACTTAGGTAATGACAGCTATCGAAATGGCTAGACGGAATTTCTAAAAAAAAAAAAAAAGGTCTATTGTAGGTTTTGGTAGCTGTTTCTACTATTGTCTAGAGTTCTTAACTCACTGCGGCATGATCAAGGCTGTCACAGAGTTTTCGTGATGCCCGCAGTCAGGTTTAATCGTTCGACCAAAAGAAGTATGAAAAGGTTACAAATGCATTTGTTATACTGAAAGTGAAATGAAATCACCTTTGTGCTATAGAAACTCACACGAATTGATTCCGCGTCACCCAGACTGCTTTAA